AATCAGTTAGAGGAGAGAGGGTGAGTTTGTTAGAAGAGAGAGAGAGTATAAATAACAAATAGTTTGAGAGAGGTAGGGGGATTATGATTTTGGAATTAAGACTGGACCTCTTGGCCAGTGGAGGAAGGGAGGCTTCCTTGGGGGAGAGTGAGATACCGGTATTCATCTTTTCTTATCATTACAGAGGAAATATCAATACATATACATACATATTTCTTATACTGTTGAGTGTGTGAGTATTATTTGTTGTTGTTCGATTCCTTGCATAAAGGAACCTAACCCAACGTTAGCTCTCTTAAGGGATATGGTTGGTCGTTCATGCGATAGTCTTATAGCATAGTGAACATAGATACCTCAAGCAAGGTAGTTTTGTTCATAGTTATGATATATGTATATTTGTTGTAACACATAGTAAATGTTCATATGTTTTGGTAGGAATTACCATAACAATGTTCATGCATCACTTGACCTAGAACTCAAGAACTCTCCATGTCACGTACCATAGGTTTTTAAGATTATATATATAATGGGGTTATCATACAAAAATATAGCCATTAGCTGCAGCAAAGATCAGCATTTAAGAGTGAGAATGACTTTAGACATAAGAAAATAATGGAGTTGAAATATGCTGGATGCAAAATCATGAACTTAAGAAAAGAATCTCATGAGTGAATGTAGAACTAATTTCTTTAAAATATGACGAGATGAAATATTTTTCCAATCAGCCACTAGATTATTCTATTTGTGCTTGGAGTAATAAGGTATCAAGGCATCAAACTTGATAAATAGAACTTTCAATATTGCACACAGAAGTTTGAAAACTAATGCATTACCATTCTCTATTTTCATGACACTTTGGAGCATTACATCCATTTTTGTTTTCATGTCAGAATTGTCATCCATAAGTGGCGCTACTAGAGTAAGCTCCCTGTATATATCACGCACAAATTTGCATATCTTCTCAGCAAATTCAAGTTCACCATCTGATATCCTACCTATTGCTAAACGCATCAGCTCTCCAGTCAAATCTGCAAGCTGAAAACAAATAACGGAAAGGATCATTTAACTCCCTTAAAACATCACATTCTTAACAAATAGATACCTTGGACTTTTATTTTTCCCCAATTGATCCTTAAACTGTGTAATATTCTATTGGCTCCTTCTATTAAGTTAGGGTTAAAGTACTGACAATGATAATCTCAATTGTTTGTTTTTCTTAAATCTCGACCTTTAACTTTTATATTTTTAAATCAGCTTTTCTTTATTTTTATTTTTTTTTAATGTGGTTCCAGATTCAATGATGAGATTCGGAAGGACCAAAACATTAGGTCGTCTTTGCAGTAACATAGACGGAAAGGGAAGCACAGTTATTGCCAACTCTGACTCCAACAGCTGACACTATCAGCAGCAAACATGAGCAAATTTCATGGAGTCCCCCCTGGAAGTTAGTGAGCTAATACCACCTGCAGTAGTTGTGCCATCTCTGGTGGTGCAACCAGCTGAGTACTGACATGTAGTATTGACCCATCACCCTCACTGAGCACAAGATCATCATCAAAGCATGTGTCAACTCAAGAAAATAAAGAGGGTCACATCTCACACCTCCACCTTGGCCACATTGACAATGCCATTAAAAACCATTACAGTTCCCCCTATCTCCACCGTCAATGATCCTCCCACCCCAGTTACCCACAGTGAAGTGTCTCATTAGCTCCTCTAATGCCCTTCTACTAATACCTATGCATAAGAAAGTTTCTCAGAACTCACTACCATTTCAAGAAGCATGCAAAAAGGCAATTTTGATGAAGAAAGGCAGACCAGTGGAGGAAGTTCAATTGGCAGGTCTGTGAGAATGAGTTTATTCTCTCGCAGACAGATCCAAAAAGGATGGAGGAAAAATGAAGTCAATATGGAGCATAACGAGAATTATTTTAAACAGAGGACGCACCATTTGATAGCAGAAGAGGGTGGCTTGCATCTTTGCATAGTTGCACACTTTATATCCTTTTCTTCCTTTTTTTCATTTTAGAAAAGTCAAAAATTTATAAAAAAAAGGTGATTTAAAAAATAAAAGTAAGGGATATTCGGATTCAATTAACAAATGCACAGTTTACGGCATTGGTATCAGAACCAACAAATTATCGACCTGCTCAATAGACTGAGTTGATGGTTGAATCAGTAGGTAACTAATTGAACATATGTTAAACTTTACACTAAAGATTCTATATATAACTTCAACTGTATATAACCACATTAGTTTGGCTGATGTGGTGGTTCAGTTGCTAGCTAGCTTCCCAAATATAAACAGAATACTTTTAGTCAGTCTATTAAATATATATAACTTTTAAGTTTACGTGAACAAATTCTATTTATAAAAAACTTGCTACACGGGTATCTTGTAAACTCCCAGTAACCCATCTTGGTAAGCAAGGAAGCATGGGTTCAAATGCAACATAGTGCAAATTCTGCCCAATTTTTTGCCTTATTTCACTCGATATTATTCCCTTTGCAAGTGCACGCTTCAATTTTAATCAGATCTGCCCAAGGTGAGCAGCATAAAATGTACAAAGGGTATCAGCAGGCAACAGTTGGTCAGAATGTACAGCAGCAACTTGGACAGTATACATGGGCCTGTAGACAGCAATCCAAGACCAATTCAAAGCTTAACTGGATGAGCCGGTTTTGACCAGTTTAAAGCTGAGTTAAAGACGTAAGCATGGGTCAATAACATCTCTGATCTGAAGACATGACTTTTTTCTGGAAATAGGTCTAGTTCCCCATTAAACTGATCGGACTAGTTGGCTTATTCCAAGTTTTACAACACTAGTTTAAGGATCAACTTGAACCGAAACAGAGGTCAAGTTTACAGAGGTTAAAAGTCTTGTCCCAACATAAAAGTTAGGTTCTATGCATGCTTTACCTCCATATGAAGATTGTTAAAAAAGTGGCAAAGGAAACTACAGAAATCATCACAGCAAGTCAAGAAATATTAAGAATCTGTTAAATTGGGTCTTCGCAACAGGGAAAATGATAAAATGTTAAGAAATTTGTTTTTACCCCTAATAGATAATCAAGGACATTTATCTGCAGAGGATGTAGAGATGGATCATTAAGTGGTAGCAATGTTTTGTTCATTTCATCAAGCTCCAAAAGTGTTCCATTTTTGCAGAAACAACAGAACGTAGCTGCTTCAACATACTCCTGTATCTGCATAGTGCAACCGCCTAAGACAAGAATCAGAGAAAAGTATTTGATTTCAACAAGGAAATATATTATGTGAAGTATACCCCTGGTGAGTATGCACGCCTTAGCTTCCAAAAATCAGTTCCCTGCAATTCTTTGACTAGTCGTGACACATACTGATCTGTCACAGCTGCTAAGTCCTTTTCAGCTTTCTCAAGTACTTCCACTTTATTGAATTTACTCATCCTTGTTATGAAATTAGAATACAGTAACGTCAGTAGGATCATGAAGATGTAGATGACATGTAAGATTATAAAAATAAATCATTAACCATCTGCAATAGAATTTGGACTCCTGTTTCTTTTATTTTATCTTTTTACTGTAGAAAAGAATTCATCGAGACATAAAGGTCTAAATAACTCATATTTACTCATTATATTTGCATTGAAAAATTACAAGGGAAATTAAGGTATAAATAATGAATGTGAGATTGCAAGAGTAATGTAATTCAGATAATACTCACTGCTAATAGAAAACAATCTCATCACACTAAAATAATTTTGAAGTACAATTAACTTGATTCAGATGACAAATTCAATAACGCAGGACAAATTAATCCCAAAAAAGAGCATGAAAAGGATATAACGTAATGTTTAAGTAATTCAGCTAATGCAGATAACACCGCCATGAAGATGTATAGAGAACAGGTGGGATGGGGGAGTGGAGAGAGAGGAAACCTGTGCACTTGAAATATGACTTTTTTGCTATTCATTGTTATATCTCGACTTGCTTTGACCACTCTTTCCCGTTTGTCATTCTATAAATATAAATATACGTTTGAAAAGAATCAAAATAATAGACAAAAATGGAACTATAAACAACAATATTGTAAAGGTCCTGACTTTAAAGGATATTCTTAGCTACCCAATATCCGTATAGATTTAAACCTTCAAATAAAGTTATTGTAAAGTTTCCATATATAATCAGCGAGGCAAAAATATTGTAAAAAGGGGCAACGTGTAGTGTGCTCCAAAACATCAATTAGCAAAATCCCAAATGAATAGCAAAACACTATTGTTAGGCCTTTGCTACAGCTACACTAAGAACTTCCTAAAGGAAGAAGAAAAGACACTAAATAGGAATAAACATTATCCGCCTCCTTTCCTTTCATTGATAAACCTAAGTAGGGAAAGTTATTGGACCTAAAGTGTCCAGAACAAAAACAGAAGTGCATCACATAATGACTAACAAACAACCCAATTTTAAATAAAGTTTATCATCCATTTGGGCTTTCTGTGTTCACGTGTGAGCCTCTTGGAGGTGCTGGCCTTTGTTGTATCAACTACCCTCACAAAATGAAAATTGTGAGAAATTTGTGAGGAGACTCTCCAACATAAAGCCCCAAGCCGAGGGGAGAACAAATATATATAATAAAAACTGTTAAAATTTCAACATCAACTTTGCTTATATTGCCTGGATAAGAAAACACAAGTAAAAAGATTTTATAGGAAAATATAACATTCAAATCAAATGCACAATTTCTATGATTTCCAACAAAAACATTCTATTTGTATATTCCTTAGCCACTTTAACAAGGACAAATACTAATTCAATATTCCCATTACAAATACAATGGTCAACATTTAACATCCCATCAGTCCTTTCCTCCTCTCTCAGTGTTTGGGTCTAACGAGTTTGGAGAGAAAATTTGAAGTAAACGTTATCCTTGCTAAGAATTCTTCAAATGAAAGGAAATAAATGAGAGATTGTTATTTAACTCCCAGCATCCCTTTTCATATTTTTTAAACATTTTATGATTATATAAATAGATTAAACTTCATCCCTTTTCAACCAAACTGTTATTTCCAAACATATCCCCAAAGGGCACTATATTGTCCTCGATACACCAGTGAAGAAAGAAAACAAGAATCTGAAACAAGAATGTATGAAAGCTAATATGAAGTAGCCTAAACGTGAAGAAAGAACCCTAATATGAAGCAAAAGCCCTTTCAACTCACTCCTACTCAATCTTGCAATGAATTTCAAAAAGCTTGGGAATTTGAAATAAAGAATAGACAAATTAAATTGTGTGTGACATTAGATGAGAAGCATTACAAGGTCATTAAGATATTCAGCATATCCGGTAAAAGCGTCCTTCATAGCTGGTTCAATGGCTGTGGATGTGGCCATGGTTCTTACCCTCTTTGCTGAGCCCTGAAAGTTGGTCTCTGCAACTGAGAAAGTGAAAACAAGTTATTGACGGCAATGGAAGATGTTCCAATCACACAGAGAGGGTTACCTTGATGGAGTCGTTGAGGTTTGGATGCCATGAACAGAGAAAACTTGTGAAGAGAGTGTAACATGTGTTCTGTTCTTTTCTCGTCTTTTTAATCAAATTAGAATTGGTAACGGCGTAACTAATAGCTATACTTCCCACGCCTAAGACCCTGTAATTTTTTAATTTTATCTACTTGTTATTTTCTCATTTTTCTTTTGTAATTTATGAAATTAAATTTTCTTAAAAAATGTAAACTTTCGAAATTACTTATATTTGTCATAAAACATCATTTCAAAATAAGTTGAATTTTAATATTGGAAAAATATACGTATTATAAATGAAAGTCGTGATATTTTCATAGACAAGTTAAAAACTAAATATTTGAAAAAAATTTAATTTCTATCACACTCAACTAAATCCATACAACATATTAAAATATTATCTTGTTTTTAATAAGTGTTTATATATCCACCCGTACATTTGCTTCTAATATAAATAAAGTGGTTATATATTTTTCCTAAAAGGTCTAAAGAATAATAGTATATTTGTAATTTTTATTAAGATTAATTGAAAAAATCCATAAAAAACATAAATATTAAAATTCTTATTTTCCAAAAAAAAATTAAAAATCCTAACATTAGTTACTTGAAATTTAAGGACTTAAAGTAACATATCAAAATATAATAAAATTTCAGTATATGATAAAATAAAAAAACTGAAATAATATTATTTAATTATTATGCCAATACAAATCACAGTTTATATTGTCAACGCATAAAATAACTAATGCGAGTTGCCTTTATTGAAAGTAGTCTCAATTTCATTAATTAAGAAAACACTTTTGCCAACTAATATGAATTCTAAATTAAAAGTAAAAAAGTATCAAGATATATTTGTTCAATATAATTAAGAATAAATAAAAACATATAAAGATATGAATTCATTAAGAAAAATTTATCATTTTTTGGATAGCACCAAAAAAAGAAATAGTCTAAATATCCCAAGTTAAAAGTATAAGTATTCTGAATTTTTTTTTTTTGGGTTCCTATTGTAATAATTTGGTAGGTGATGTTAGCAGTGGGCAAGCTCTTGCAGCTTCCATTTCTTTCGCTTGTAAACCATGGGCTCAGATCATCAACGCCAATTTCCATTCGCTGTCGTATAAATACATCATATTCCTCCCGAATTACCCCCAACGCATTTTCACAACACAAACACAAACACAAACATCTCTCCGACAAAGTAATGGTGGCGCTCCTTGTGGCAACCTCCTCCGACCCTGCTTCCATCAACCCGGCCAATGAGCTGTTGGCCATGCCCGGGTGGCAACCCGGTCCCCATTTCCAGGTTCAAAGCAGCAACCATTTATGGGTACCCATCATGCACCTTTGCTGTTTTAATTGTTATTTTTGGTTGTGTTTGGTCCACTAGGATGATATGAAGAGCTTTGTGAATGAAGGGGTGAGGGTGTTGCTGCATGCAAAGAGCATAGTGGAGGAGGATGATTTAGACAGGAGGTGGGAGGAGGTGACTGGGGAGGCTGTTAATGAGGTCATCTTCTTCAGCAAACACACTGCTGTGTCCAACAAACCTGCCCTCACTGTCCACCCCATTGGTAAGTCTTCACTTTCTCTCTGCTTCTTTTTGTTTGTGTGTCTTGTAATTAATTTTTTGGTGCTGTATGTCTGTGTGTCTGCAGGCGTTCCTCATTTGCGTGAAGGTGACGTTCCACCTCAAGGTGGAAGACCTGGATGGGCAGCGCTGCCAAATCCTAGGATGGGGCCTTGGCTTCGCCTTTTGAAAAACATGGCTCAGGCTCATAATCTGGTCCCTGAATTCGAGGTTTGTTTGATTGGTTGGTATTTAGACCGGTTTTCTTTACTTGGCTTTTGATGTTGTTTCTTGCGTGACGTTTTCTTTTATTGGCTTTCGTTCGTTTCTCTAGTTATATCTTCGGTATTTCTGGTTTAGATTCAGCATTCCTGCAATTGCATGACTTGTTTCCTGTTGAAGGAAGATGATGATGTTAAATTTTTAAAAGCAATTCTGCAGAATTTAATCTGTTTTCTCAATGTAGATTACTTTGGAGGCTACTCACCATGGACCGTTGACAAATAAGCCGACCATGTTTCTGGAGATTGGTGAGTGTTTTTTCCTTCCTTCTAGACCTATTATGCATTGATAGGTTATATATATTGTATTTTACCAGCAAATTGCATGATCGATTAGTTAAGTACTCGGAAAATATTTTGTTGTCTCTGCATCCTCCATCGTTTGTTTTTCAGATCAAGTGAGTCTTCATTTTGATGTTTAATCCCCTTTTCCATTTATATCCATTTCCTCCTTTTTTGAAAGTATTGCTTACTTGCAAAGAAGGTTTGATCTTGTCTATGTTTTCCATATGAGACAAAATATTGTATGTTAAAGAGAGATAAAATGGAGTTTCTAGATCAGTGATGTTATTTTAGCTTATTTTTTCATTTGAGTATATAGGGCATCTCTGCCCTTCCCTCTCTATGTTCCTTTGTTTAATTTAGGACATTGGTTCAATCGGTGAAATTTGTTTCCACCTAAAGAAAGTTTCCCTTAGCTTTTCTTTGGCATAAATTTTGGGTAAGATAGGTATTTCTATCACGTCTCACCTCCTTGGACCAAGAACAGCACCACTCTCACTCTTTTTTCTGTCCCATAGAGGTAAATGAAGAAGAGTTAGTCTGGCCAGGGATTTGAGAACTGGATCACTGGATTGATCCAAGAAAGGGGATCCTCTCTCTCAAACATGGACATTCCACCTCCTTGGTTGACATTCGAGTTTTATTGAGATGGGTATCATTGGTCGAGTTCCCGGGAAATTCTGGTTGTCCAACATCTTTCTTCCCCGCCACATTCTTCAGTTCCAACAGTGTGGTATTCGGCTTTTGAAGCTGATCCATGCGAGTTTGGATAGCTTCCTGGAAAGCAGCTTCTATTGCTCTTTCAAGGTTCATTTGAGCTTCCAAAAGGTCCACTTACCAAGTCATATTCAGTGGTATCTGGCAAGTTGAGCCAATTGTTTGGTTTGGGACTGTAAATGACTAAAGATTGTATCACTCACCCCCACACACACCAGAGAAGACTTTTGATGATCTTCAACTACATATTATTGATTCTCTCTCCTCCTCTTTATTCCTTGTAGCTAACTCACTACATGCCATTGTCTTCTTTTCTTGCCCGCTCAACCCCCCCCCCCCCCCCCCCCCTATTTTTATGTTTTCTATAATAAATTTGCCAAACTTGTGCTTATTGTCCACATTTTGTATCAGCTGGCCCAAGTTTTCTTGTCTTATCATACCATAGTTTGTGGCTGCTTAATTTCATGCTCAAGTTACACTGGAAGCTGCTACCAGTTAGATAGTACTGCTTAACACAACAACTCTTTTTCTATTCTGGTATAGGTAGTACTGAAGACTACTGGAAGAGACAGGATGCTGCTCAAGTTATGGCACAGGTTGGGCGGGGTTCTTAATAATTTTTTTCATTACTTTTCCATCAATATCTGAATTTCCCTGTATGGAGATCATATTCTTTTACACAATTTCTTCTAAGTGAAAAAAAACTTCCCTCTAACTGTCTATACCATAATAAATGCTTTAGTGACAACTGATTGGTAATATTTATTTAGTTGCTGAAATGATATTTTGTTTGGGTTTTTTTAGTTAGTCTGGGAAGGACTTGGACTTGGAGGTGGGACAGATGTAGGAAACTGGAGCAGGTAAATTTATCAAGCCAACTTAAACAAATGCAGTGACGATAGTTTGCATACTCATTTTATTTGGCATATACCTCCCGAGGTCTTCACATCTTGCTCTCTTTCAGTATCCTCAGATGCAATATATGTTTAATATATGGCTCTTTGATCTTACAATTCCTTTCTTAGTGGACTGTATGTTTTCCTGAAACATTTAAATTGTTTGTGTTATTGCATAATTATCATTAAATCTTCTAACTACAAATGGTGATTTTTTTGTAACCTGAACCTAAATCTCACTCTTACAGGGAGAAGGATAACAAGAAAATTCTTCTTGGGATAGGTGGTGGACATTATGCGCCTCGACATATGGATGTAGTATTGTAAGTAATCATATCAGTCATAGCGGATCATGTCTGTATAATTTATGTTTTTGATATCAAAGAAACTGAACTATGCAGCTATTGGACGTTATTAACTTTTGGGTTATTCTGAAAACCTAACTTAGTTTATTCTGCAATTTGCTCCCTATATTGGGAGTTCTCTTGCTTTTTAAGCTTTCCATTATTCAAACTCACTCGCATCATTCGTTTACTTGCTATGCAATGAAGACTTTGTCATAGTATTAATAAAATTGATAAGTAAACATAGCTATTTGCTCTTCATCAACATTTTTATGATTACATTATCCATAAACTTCCATCATCAAATTTAATGCCCCCCTGATGAAGGGATATAAATTGTACATTCAAATATACTACGAAAATATAATGACTATAAAGCTTTGTATTATTACATCATGACTTAGGCTGAATAAACTTTTAAATCCATTTGAGAAGATATATACATAAAATTTTATGTTCATGAAAAAGCTTTTTGTACCTTGCCAGTTTAAAATTTTATAATTTTTGTGTGCATTATATTTTCTGTGTTTTGCTCAAATAAAATATGAATACTTACTCTGCTTATCCAATCTAGGAAAGATAATGTGTGGGTGGGTCACCTACTTTCTGGATATTCAGTGCCAATGGAAGATCCAAAGCAGTCAAAAGGAGAAAAAGATGTGGAGATTGGGGGAACATGGAGAGAGTCTATAAAGGCTGCATATGAGGCCACTAGGTCTGCCTTTCCTGGTGGGGAAATTCTTGCACACCTAGACAACAAGTGAGCTTAATGAATATTGTCCTATGCAGTCAGAAATCTATTTGTATTGCTAATGCCAAAGCAAGAATTGAATGATATTTCTTGGATGAGTGCTGAACAGTATATAAAAATATATTTCATAGACCCAACAATTTGCCAAAGGCTTCCACCTGCCATTCTCTTACAGCAATAGATTGCAAAGAAAATGGTGGAACAGCCTTTGGGTTAGGGAAAAGTGGAAAAAAGTGATAACTCCCTTTCCATCATCCCTGACTCCC